TTTGGAGGTGCCAGCATCCCTTTTGGTGTTTCATACTTTCTCACTGCAACAGCCTATTGCCATAGACAATCAATCTAGAGCAAAACAAATGAACAAGCAAAATTAATTTTGGCTAACTAGGAATAATTTTAAGGAGTTTTTAAACTTCCTTATTACTAAGAAAAGATAGAATTTCTAATCACTGTTCTGAACTTACCATGTAAGTGAGCCCATAATGGTAAATATGCACTGATGTAAATCATACACTACAACTCCAGGTGCAGGAATATCTCTGGGGAGACTTGTACATGGATAATTTGAACGACCAAAGATTGTTAAAGATGATTCCCATTTCAAATGCAGCAGTGGGAGTAACAGTTGATCTCCCACAAATTTAGGTTGTCTTCACATTTATAATACTGTATTGGAGTCTTAATCTGATATCATATCTGTATTCAAAAGATCCAGGGCAACCTGAAATACCTGATAAGGCACTTGAATCTCACTCAGAAGTTGCTGCCTAAATAAGTGTTCGGTTTTATAGCAAAAAATTTATCATATTCTCTGTTTTCATCAGGTAAAAGAGGTGTATTCCTCTGATATGTTAGTGTACAGACTTAAGGTTTTCAGCTGGCCATATTCCTTTAGTGTATGAATCATTCTGATCCCCATCTTTTACTTTATGAAAGGTGTGCCCAAACTCAACTACAGGTTAATACAGGATGTTCATGAGGGCCTGTGGAAGAAGTTTTCAATAAGGCTGGCTGTGGTATTTTGCTCAGTCTCCACAAAAGTGTGACAAGAACATCCGTACCATAAAATATGTTTTGTAAGGAACAATTATTTTTCTATTGTTACACGGACACTTGATGTGCTTTATGAATCTGTCCTGGGGCTACTGGCCAGCCTTTGCAGCGTGAGCTGACTTCAGAAACACTTGTTCCTTCTGAAAACCTTTATCATAAAAATCAACTGTCATCATCTACTCCAGGAGTTCTAGGTATTGGTCAAGTCTGCTGATGGAAGCTTTTTGTGTAGGATGCTCTTTTCTGGCATACTGCTTGAAAAGTGGTCTTCAGAAATATTCCTCTTCTCTAAGGCCATATGTATTCCATTCTGTTTTCATAGAATCATAGAATGGATAAGGTTGGAAGGGACCTTAAAGATCATGTAGTTCCAGCCTCCTCACACTAGACCAGACTGCACAAAGCCTCATCCAACCTGGCCTTGAACACCTCCAGGAAAGGTACATCTACAGCCTCCCTGGGCAACCTATTCCAGCACCTTACTACCCTCGTGGTGAAGAATCTCTTCCTAATGTCTGACCTAAATCTACTCTCTTTCAGTTTAAAACCATTACCCCTTGTCCTATCACTGACCTCTCTGGTGAGAAGTTTCATGCCCATCTTTCATGTAGGCTCTTGTTAGGTACTGAAAGGCCACAATACAGTCTCCCTGAAGCCTCATCTTCTCCAGGCTGAATAGTCCCAGCTCTCTCAGTCTGTCTGCACAGCAGAGGTGCTCCAGCCCTTTGATCATCTTTGTGGCCCTTCTCTGGACCTTTCCAACATGTCCATGTCTTTCCTGTGCTTCGGGAACAAATTCCCCTGGCACCGGGGTCTTCCAAAGTTGCACAATCAGAGTCCACAGGAAGCAAATCCTCTGGCCACAAGATCCAAGCCCACTGGCCAAGTTCACCCCTCCTGGCACCTTCAGGGAATGTCCCACCACATTCCTCCATGAGCGCAGGGGGACAGCTGCCATCTCGCCATGCACAGCTCTTCCCCCCTCAAGTGCCTCTCTGCTCAGGTGTTACAGCTGTTCTTTCGGCACATCTGTTGTCCCTCTAATGGATCTTTGACTGGGCTTTGGGAGCAGGGGGAGCTTCTCAGTTTCTTACCGGAGCCACTCCTGGGGCCCTTCCCCCTCTGCTAAAAAACCCACCAAACCAGGACACCTGTTCATTTGGTGCTTAAAATCTCTTGAGTCCCAGTGGAAGCAACATTTCTCAGACACTGATCCCACAGCTACTAACCATAACCTCTTGCCTAGAAGAGAATAGTTAATCTTTCTTGGGGGCAAGATGTCGAACATCCATTGTTCTAGGAGTTATCTTTTGGAGAACTTCTTTTGGGACAGATCAGACTTGATGTCATTATAAGGTCCTATCTTGTGGTTCATCAATAGTCCTGAGAACTTTCATCAAGTAGTGACAGTTCCCCTTGGGAGAAACCATGTAGTTCTGTCCTCTTCCGTGGATACTTAGCTAGTAAAAGAAAAGATCTTTTTTGGCAGGTAATGAAACCCACTTGACACATTTATTCTGGGGCTTGTAGCTGAAATAAAGGATCACTGTCTGTTTCTCATCTACAGTGAAATTTTTCTCCTTTGAGGGAAAGGAAATAAGGCAGTTTTATGTTGTTTGTGACAAGCTTTTTCAGTAATCTGTCCTGCTTCCCTTCTTCCTCTGAAGAGCCCATCGCATCTGGATTCTGCCTTTGAGAGGAAACTGAGGTGCTGTACATGCATTTTGACCTTCTGTGGTTGTCTCAACAGTTGGCAAACCTGAATGCGGGGTACTTCTGCACATTCGCAGTTGTCAGGGCATATGTGCAAAGCATCTTGAAGAGTTCTAGTTACTACAAAGTAACTAACTTCCTCTAATTTTGTTTTTCTTTGACCCTTTTTTTAAAAAGGCAGTGTTAGAGAAATAGCCAGGTGAATATGCTGAGGTTTTCTTATAAGTGGATTTTTTCAAAGTCACTTTAAGTTAGGGATAAAAGTAGAGGATGTATGCGTTGTCTTTAAAAGCTGTGCTTTTCCCCTCCCTCCAGCTAGGAAAATCATTATTTTAGAAGATGTGGAGATGAAATACAGAGTCCCACCTAGGGCTTCTTTTCCTGTCTAATTGTGTGAGTATTTTCACACATCTTGACACAGGGGAGAAGGACAGAACAGAAGAGCTATGGCTTTTTTGGCAGTTCCTTCTCACAGCTGTGTTGCTCTCTCTAGGTCAGCCTGCAGTAGAGAAATTTGGTTCAAGCACCAGCAACACTGCTAAACCATTTTGTGATGAGGTCAAGAGTTGAATAATCATCCCATTGATAAGTGAGCGAGCCAGAAATTCCATTCAAAGAGGACAGTGACTTCCTGTGCTTCTTACCTATTATAGGTCACAGAAATCATGAAGGGAAAATGGGGGACCGGGGGCACTCTAGCACATGCCTGGTTATGTAACTGTGACTTTTAGGTTTTATTTGCTGCTGTTGCTGTAATAAAAGGAGTTAAGGCAGGCTTTTGTGTCTTTATTAAAATCATTATTTTCTTGCAAGCATTCCTATGGGAAAATCAACATAGCTTCTGCTCTGGATATATAGTCGAATCGGATGTGGCTGTAAATGCTTTTTAGAGGTGGAGCTTGTGGGAGCTTGTCAATGCAGTGTACCCAGCTGCTCTGAGGTAGCCTTGCACATACATCCTCATGGTCTGGTGGGTGTGGGAAACCACCAAGGTTGTTCAGCCCAAAGAAATGGCATTTAATCTTTTTTATTTGAAATGCTTAAGAAAATGCCTGAACACTAAAAATGTAGTTTATAAGAAGCTAGACTAAACAGTTGAAGTTTCTTAACAGACACATAAAAAGATTTGCTCCTGTTTCAGACAAGCCTGGTCTGGGTGTCCCATGAACTCTCTGATTTCTGAGGGAAGATTTTATTGAATTTGAAATCATAGGAAAGTTGGTGGATTGGGTTGATTTCTCCTTGAGTTCTCAAGCTTGTTTAAACTCAGAGGCTCAGAAGTCAATGTCAATTAAAATCCTGCTCTGAAGGCCTTGAATGGCAACTTTACTTAGAAATTAAATTGGCAGGTTTTGCCATTACACTTCTAAACCAATTCACTAGTTTTTATAAGGAGGCTTGGCTCAGCTCATGATAAGACACTGGTGCTGGCTTTTCCAGCATTAACCTTGCAGCCTTAAAATACAGTGGACTTGGTACTGCAGCAATGGAGGGAATTACTGAGAGGAGGAAAATTAGAACTGTGGCAGCAGTTAGAGGTCTGGTTGCTGGGTACAGAAAGAAAACTGCACTGGTGGAAAAAGAAACAAACCAGCTGGCTTTTGGGAAAGATACTCTGCAAAGGAAATTTGCCCTTTTATTATGGAGACTGCTTGGAGATTTGAGAATGCTTGAGTGGTTACAGGTGGATTAACAACAGGAGGGGGAGCTCTCACTGCGTTACCCAAAGAAGAGGGAAATTCTGGACTTGGCAGCAAGCCTTTGAATGAAGAGTAGTGCACTCCTGCTGCTCCCTGTCAATAAAATGTTGATTAGCTGCTCTTCATATAGGCAAGACTAATGGCGAATGTGCATGTCTGGAAAAAGTAAGGCAATCCATGTCCTGTTCCTTCCTCTCCTGCTATCATTGCTTTTTTGGTTCTACACGTACCGAAGTTGTGTTACTGTCAAAGAAAGTTGTATTACAACTATGGCATAGCAGATGTAGCTGCTTTCTCCCATCTTCACTGTCAACTTCAGATACCAGTGTCCCTGTTCCTGAGATGTTTGCTTTAGAGGAGAGGGATAGGTAGTGAAAATACACGAGACGTTACTTTTATGGTTAGAGCAAAAACTGGTGCAGCTGAGAAGGAATAATTTGTTTCCGGTGCAAGCAGGATGAGCAAGATTGAGAGATTTGTAAAACAGTGTTATTTAACTGGTATTTTAAAGACTGGTCATGACTAGGTAACATATCAACATTAAGAACTGAAGTACATGGCAAGCAACAGAGAAGTTTGGAGGTTTAGTAAGCTGGACATTTCTCTAACACGGAAACCCATTTATTCTAATAATAATTTACACTTAAGTATCTCTCAGACTCTATTTTTTAAAATTGCTTTCTAAGTGAGGGAAAATGCAATTCCCACTTCCTGTTTATGGACGGGGAGCATAGTCACAAAGAGAGTTGGGTTTGCAGGGGGGACGAGAGGTTATTTTAACACAGACATGATGTAAGGAGACATGGATGTAAGTGGTAGGATGCAAGCGAGCTCTGGCTTAGAAGCTGTGTAATGGTGTCGGTGTCAACCCTAGGCTGTGTCCCAGAGGATGTGCCCTCCTCTTGATGTATCAGTTCAGGCAAAGTGCCAGTAAGATGCTTTTCTGGCTTCCGATCCAGAACTTGCTTGCATCTGGGATGAGTGGATGGATCTCTTATTTGAGTGCACATGACTGTACAGACATACCTCAAGTTACTTTTTAATGTTCACAGGATGAAAAAGGAATACATTCAGTTCTCCCTTAACCTGCATAAGTGCTGGCTCAACTGATTAGCATCTGTGTTCTTTATTTGAATGTGGATGGTATTGGCCTTTATGTATATGTTATTGTTAATCTTGCTGTATTTATGATGTCAACTTGGATAATGTAAAAATAATTCTAGGTAAGTGCTTTGGATTTTGCTTGGCTTTTTGTTTTGTTTTGAATAGGAAAGACTTTTCTGCTTGAATTACTAATCTAAGGTAACTGAGTGGTTTTCTTGTGGGCTCCTAAAATATTGGTGAATTTTTTTCCAAAGGATTTTGAGTAAAAGGAACTTAATGTGAGAGGCTATTCCTTGTATTCTTTATAAAAGAATAATAAAAAATTCTTTACTTTCAGAGTGTGTATTGATATCTCTACAGATGTGATACATTTGGCTGGGTTTTTCTCCTTTAATTCCTTGGATCAAAGCAATAATATAAGTTTAAGTTTTTATTCATCAACTTCTATCCAAGTTTTTCAATTTGCTGGAATTAAATAGGGAATCTGGGAATAATAGATGATCATAGATACAGTATATATCATGTAGTCTTATTTCCAGAACGTCAGCGGAGAGTTATGTTAAATCTTTTTGTTTTGCTTAGTATGATTACAAAGATTCTTTTGTAGCTTGGGACATTGAGTCTACAAGCAAAAAAATGTGAGAGGTATCTGGCAAGAGAAGATAACATGAATTTAATCCTAGCAATGCTGTTCTTAACTACATTGTGTTTGACTGGCAAGATCTACAAAATAATTTTGGTCATGTCTGTATGACTTTGAATACCTAGCAGGAAGAAGAGCAATCCAGGGTGACAGTGCTTTAAACACTGTCATTTAGGTCTCAGGAGAGACTGAATGTGTTGCAGTTGCCAGAGAGGAAAAGATGTAACTAACTGCATTGAAACCAGCATTTTAAATTTATTTTTTTCTTTTTAGATAAACTAAGTTCCATTCTTTAAAACTTTAAAAGAAATGAAGAGTGGCAAGCAAATGGAAACCAAGTAGTGTCTGTATAAGAAGGAAAAAAGCCCCAAGATTGGTATTGCTTGTGTGGTATTCCTTTCCCATATGATTGGAGAGATCAGAGCTTTAGTCTGCATTCATGTATTAGTAAATCCAGCTATGCAGGAATGAATTGTGTATTATCGATTCAAATTTAATTTTATTTTAGATAGGGGTCACTGCAGGACTGGGCTGAGATTTAAAGTCACTGGAAGAAACTACTTTGATTAGCTACACACCTGATCTGCTTTTGAAGGTGTGCCTGTGCTAGCTGCACAAAGACACAAGTAGCCAGTAATTTCTGGGCCTGTTAAATCCCTGCTTTGTACCACAGAGTTCATAATGTTTTTCAGGATGTGCAGATAATGAAATATTTGCAATAGATGGCTATATATTATGTATACTTGTATTACTGCAGTTTTAGCTGTTTATGCTCAGTTAAAGTTGACAGGCTTGTCATCATTTTGTCTTCAAAGACTTACTGATTTCAAAAAAACTTTTTCCTGGTCACTCAATGCAGGGTGATGCCAAGTCCATGCACTTTAGGGGCATGCAAGGTGACTGTTTAGGAGGGTCGAGCAGAGGCCAGATATACTTCATGCTAAGAAGCTATTTTGTGCAGAGTTGGGAATAATACCATTGTTCTTGGTTGCATGCAGATGGTACCAGACAGGAGGAAGTGGAAGGTGAACTCAGTGAAGAGGAACGCTGGTTTGGAAATTCCTCAGAAACTCCTTCAGAAGCATCATATGGAGAAGTCCAGGAGAACTTTAAGTTGTCTCTTGAGGACAGAATCCAAGAGCAGTCCACTTCCCCAGATACTTCTTTGGGAAGTGCAACTCCTAGCAGCAACACAGCAGAGCTGGGACCCATTGAAAATGAGACACTAAGAGACACATTACAAAGCAAAGAGCACCTTTCTCCTGATGTGTCCTCCCTGTGTGAAGAAGAACCTCCTGGTCCAAACAAGCCACTGAGCAGCAACCTGAGGCGGCTGCTGGAGGCCGGTTCTCTCAAGCTGGATGGTGCTGTTACAGTCAATGGCAGCATTGAGTCCCCAGTAAATCTTGGCTCAAATCTCTCCTTCTCTCCACCTGCTCATCATGCCCAGCAGCTAAGTGTTCTTGCCAGAAAGCTTGCTGAGAAACAGGAACAAAGTGACCAATACAATGCAAGTAGTCACTTTTTATGGAATCAAGGTAAGTGGTTGCCAAACTCAACCACCACCTGTGGTTTGTCCCCTGATTCAGCTATCCTGAAACTTAAAGCTGCAGCCAATGCTGTTCTGCAGGACAAATCTCTTTCAAGGACTGAAGACACTATAAGATTTGAATCCTTTTCTTCACCTTTTAGTTCTCAGTCAGCCAGCTCCACGTTAGCAGCTTTATCTAAGAAAGTGAGTGAAAGAAGCATGACTCCTGGGCAGGAGCACCCACCTCCAGCTAGTTCTTTCCTCTCTCTGGCTTCCATGACCTCATCAGCTGCCCTGCTCAAGGAGGTTGCTGCACGGGCTGCAGGGACCCTCTTGGCTGAGAAGAAATCACTGGTTGCTGAGGATCCCCTGCAGCTTTCAGAGATGAAGCAAGAGAAAGCAACTCCACCACAGTCTTTGGAATTATTGTTACTGCCAGTCCCTAAGGGAAGAGCTTCCAAACCCACTAGTACAGGTATGGATGCAGTGTGAGCTACCAAGTAGAATGTATTTGTTTTGCAATAGACTTATATAACATCTCAATGGGTCTGGATTTAATTTGATTCCATGTATGATGAGAATAAGAAATAGGTACTTTAGGTAAACAATAGAAAAGCTGTCTAAAATACTTGAAGGCCACACTTTCACAAATGTTTCCATATTTGAAAGATATGAGTGTACAGTGCAGTACTTTTTTTTTTTTTTTTTTTTTTTTTTTTTTTTTTTTTTTTTTTTTTTTTTTTTCTTATTCTATATAATGGTATTTTCCCCTCTTACCAAGTTCAGAGTAGGTCCACAAAAAATATTTAATGGAAAAGATCAAAGAATCCCTGTTAGGAAGCTCACAGTATCAGTGAACATGTACAAAACCAGTGCTTTTGAAATATTGGACAAGGGAGAATTCTCCCTCCTGCTGTCTCTGTCAAAAATGGACTTTTGTATAATCACTTACTACCCTGTCCTAATTTACCAGAGTATATTATTATGTTGCCAGTTTTCATTAAATTTTTTGCAGCAGTTCAGTATTTTACAATCCTTTGTGGTTAAAAAAAAATTTTTTTTTAAAAAAAGGCAAACTGCATTTCTCTTCATTTGCACAGGAACCCCTTTACATTTCTGACTTCCCTCCACCAGTTCCAGCTGTCAGCAGTCAAGGAATCAGGCTTGTAGGGAATAAGAAAAAACAGTCTTGGTAACAAAAGCAGGGAAATTTAAATGATCCATCTACAAAATAAGAAAAAATAAGGTTTCTTTCATCACTTTGTATACAAAGTTCACACTGTGGGTTCATATTTCTGGTAGAACATACAGCTTCAGGTGTTGCTAGTGTTCTCCCTCGAGTGGTGTTCTGCTGCAGAGGAGAAGGAAGCATGAGAGGTACCATCACAAGGTGCACAAAGTGGTTCTGTATATTAGAGCTTCATCAGGCTGAGTTTGATCCCAAATACTAGCTTGACTGTGGAGGTGTAGCAAGCTAGTGTACAGACATGAAGCCTGACGTGGAGCTTGCATAGTTGTACTGCCATCTTTCTGACCCAGCTTTTTATGTTTTGGGATATTATGAGGTCTGATCTGTCCCTGTGCAGATTTTGGTAAAAACTCATAGGACAGAAGCTATGTTGGTTGGACAGCAATGCTCATTCCTCCCTTGGGAGAGAAAGGATGCAATGAGGCACAGCTGGTTCAGTGTTTTGCTCTGAGTTACACATACTCTACAAATGCTTTGCTGATGTGTTTTGCCCAGGGAATTAAAGTGGCAAACTGTTCTTGGCATGGGTCTGGCAAAATTTAATTAATTTAGATGAAGCCCTTTTTGGAGTAACAGGCTCAACCAAGAAGAGGGCTTTTCATCTAGGACTAGGATTACCCACACTGGCTACACCATTGTGATTGTGGGCATTAATTTAATGCAACTTTACCTGTGAAGACTGGCTTTCATATAAGAAAGGCAGAAATTTCTGGAAAAAGAGTGAGGTTGAAATTTATTTGAAGTTATCTGTTTGTTTCCTGCTG